TAAATATTTATAAACGTAACCGGACGAAATGTGCTTTCAGCCGTAGCTTTACTAAAACTAACTTTTAGCTACAATCTCTCCGTCGACAAAATCCTGTTTCATTATTTTCACTTTATATGTAACAATGAAAGCGATACAATTAATTGTTTGTAAATTAATAAAGCCCTAAGTATCCTGTTTCTTCAAGAGTAATTGCTTTCTTTTACTTCTAATTAAGAATTTAAATTAAGAACTCTTGCTTTCTTCTGCTTATCAACACAGACGATTTTGACTTGGTTGTCGAAAAAATTCGCCTTCAGGTCGTTCCAAAGTTTGCTCAATATTGTCACTGACAATAGCACTTCTGCATTATATGAAAGACTTCGTAATAAAGTGTCCAAAAAGTCTATAGTTTATCAAAGAAAATTTGACGTTGCAAGACAATCAAATATCTTAGTCAGTGACGAGGATTGTTCAGTCTGACGGGTTTGTTTGTTTAAAGAATTTTCTCTATTTGCATTATTAAACATGTCACTAAATACAATTGAACGTGTTTTTTCATACTTTTATTTTAGCGCAGTTAGCTGTTGCAGTGTTTATATTTCATCTGTTTCTTAATTATTTGCAAATAAACAGATTCTTTTTACAAAACAAGTCGCTGGTCAGTAGGACTCTGGCAAATCTATTAGCCTCACTAGGCTTTATGTTTCCTTCCAGTTGTAATTTCAGCGAATTATCGTTTTAGTGATTTTTTTTTTTTTCTTTAATTCTGCGGGCAGCGCGCTGTCGCATTAAAATACACAATTGAGTCAAGATATCGAGCTATGCAAATATTCAGTTTCGATGAATCATCAGAAAGTTAACTCTTCCTTTTTTTCGTTATAACGCTTGAGATTTGGCTGCGCTCTAGAAACTGAATTGATTATTGAGTCTAGATTATTCGGTTTCCAAATTCGTTCTCGATCTCTAACCGGTTTACGTACATAATAGAACAAAATCTTATGAAAATTATATTAAAATTTAATTTTGATTCTGACTGGTTGAATGCCTTAAGTAGTATCACCGCCAAAGCATGAAATCGTTAAATTTTCACCGAGAGCTGAGGTCGTTTTATAATCTGAGTCGCATATTTTCCANGTTTATCAAAGAAAATTTGACGTTCAAAGACAATCAAATATCTTAGTCAGTGACGAGGATTGTTCACCCTCACGGGTTTGTTTGTTTAAAGGTTTTACCATATTTGAATCATTAAACATGGCATCAAATACAATTGAACATGTTCTTTTCATAATTTCATTTTAACGCAGTTAACTGTTGCAATGTTTATTTTATCTGTTTTTTTAATTATTTGCAAATACACGGATTCTTTTTACGAAACAAATCACCGGTCAGTAGGACTCTGGCAAATCTATTAGCCTCACTAGGCTTTGTGTACCCTTGCAATTGTAATTTCAGGGAATTATAGTTTCTGTAATTTTTTTTCTTTCAATCCTGCGGGCAGCTGCCACATTAAAATACACAGTTGAGTCAAGATACCGAGTTATGCAAAATATTCAGTTTCGATGAATCATCAGAAAGTTAACTCTTCTTTTTCTCCCGTTCAAGTAACGCTTTGGCTGCGCTCTAGAAATTGAATCTATTATTGAGTCTGGGTTATTCGAATTCATTCTCGATCTCTAACCGGTATACGTAAATAATAGAATAAAATCATATCAAATTTATAGTAAAATTTTGATTCTGACTGGTTGAGTGCCTTAAATATTATCACCCACAAAGCATGAAATCGTTAAATTTTCACCGAGAGCTGAGGTCGTTTTATAATCTGAGTCGCATATTTTCCATTTCATCTGTACCGACGAAACAAAACACCCGATCACCCGTCCCCCGGTGAACATGTACTACGACATCTTTGGGGCGATGCGCGCCTCAATAGGCCATTTTGAACCAAATTATGTTATGAACGCCGGCGCCCTTTTCTCGATTTGTAGCACTTAACAAAAGCTAAACAAGGTTTTTTTCGATGTTTTGGTACAGGGATGACTTTCCTTGCGATGGAAAAGAGACTATTCTTTCTAGTTAGCTTTCCGGGCAGCATTGATTTAGTATACTGTTGTTAATCAGTTAAGGAAAATTGCTAATTAACTTACGCTTGCCGGATAACCTTATGATTT